AGCTGTGGGTAGGATCACTGAGAGCAGAGCTGGGCTTGTTGTGTTAGCTTGCGCCAGAACTGCTGAAGCCCTAATAGCTCAGAGGTTTTTCGTTTGTGTGTGTGTGTGTGTGTGTGTGTGTGTGTGTGTGTGTGTGTGTGTGTGTGTGTTTCCTCATCCATTTATTGGGGAGTCATTCAGGGAGGAACTGGGGGGCAGGCTCAGGGGCGGGAGTGGCCTCAGCCTGCCACAGCCCGGGGCTGGGGGCCGCACTCAGCAGTACTTCTCGGTCAGCACGGAGGACACGATGGACAGGAACTTGTCGCAGGCAGAGTGGGCCTCGGCCGTGAAGTCGGCGGGGAAGCGCGCGGCCAGGGTCACCAGCAGGCAGAGTGAGACAGGAGCTTGAATTTGACAGGGTCCACGCGCAGGATGTAGGCGTGCAGCTCGCCCAGCTCGCCCAGCGCCCTCGAGATGTTGTCGATGTGCTTGACCGCGTCGCCCACTGCGGCCGCCACCTTGGAGCCGTGCGCGCGCAGCTGGGCCGAGCCCGGGTGCAGGTCGAAGTGTGGGAAGTAGGTCTTGGTCTGGGGGTAGCTGGTGAAGAGCCTCTCCAGGGTGTCGGTGCCGATGCTGTCGGCCTGCAGGGAGACCTTGCTCCACATGGACAAGACCAGGGACCTCTCGGTCCTGGTCAGAGACATGGTGGCGGCTTGGCGGCAGCTGGTGGAGCTCAGGGCTGGCTTCCCTCAAACTTTTTAAACAGGGGTCCAGTTCACTGTCCCTCAGACCCGTTGGAGGGCCGGACTATAGTTTTAAAAAAAACTATGAACAAATTCCTATGCACACTGCACATATCTTATTTTGAAGTAAAAAAACAAACGGGGCAAAAACACCCGGCAGGCGGGATAGATGTCCTCGGCGGGCCGTAGTTTGAGCACGCCTGTGCTAGAGAAGTCAATCACGACAGTATGTCTTCCACTGTTTGTTTGGTTTTTTTCTTTTTTTGCCGCTGCTGCAGGTGTATGTTTATGTTTGGCAGCTAGAGAAATTTTGGTTTAAATGGCTTTATGTTTAAGCGTTTTATGAGGAAGGATTTGGAAAGAATACGGCAGTGATTTCCTTACATAGTTTTCTCATTTTTTTCTCCAATCATTTTATTGGGGGCTCGTATACAACTTATCACAATCTATATATCCATCCATTGTCAAGCACATTTGTACATTTGTTGCCATCATCATTCATGAAACATTTGTTTTCTACTTGAGCCGTTGGTACCAGCTCCTCATTTTTTCCCCTCCCCTTCCACTGTTTCTTGACATAATTTTTACTCCATATTTATTGCCTAGAAGTCCTTTCTCAAAGCTGTGAATGCAATAGGGATCAATGAGCTGATCATTCTTCCTTTAATAGCAAATGCTCTTCCAGCTTTAGGTAGTTTATTTAAGTACTTTTGTAAACTAACTGTAGAGAAACTTGAAAGGTTAAATGATTATGTAACCTAATATTTTAAATTATTCATGCCTCAGGTGGTTTAGTTGGGGATAGAGATACAATTTACATAATATAGCTTAAAGTGATAAATGCTGATATAATATGAATATATATAAAAATCATAAAGAGCCTATATTTTTCCCGACTCCTCAAAAAAATTCTAGAATTACTAAGTGCAGCATAGTCACATATTATTAGATCAATATAAATAAATTAATTGCATTTATAAATACTAACAGTGGAAAAACTCAAAAGAAATATAAAAAAAACTGAAGAATGAATTTAACAGTAGATAAGCAGGACCTCCACACAGAAAATTACAAGCTACTACCTAAAGAAATTTTACAAAAAAGAAAATAATATAGCTATACTGTGCTCATAGTTTATAAGATTCAAAATTATTAAGATGTCATTTTTCTCAAATCTGATTTACACCCTAGTAGTTGCCTCTCCTTCCCATTCTTCCTTTATAGAAATTGTTGATTCCATGATGTATATAATTATATAGGTACTAGTCAGAACTCTCGAGAACAGGGAGGGCTGGAAGATTTCTGATACAAAGGCTTACGATTTACTATAAAGCGTCAGTAATTAAGACACTAATGCTGGCATAAGGATGGACAATGGAACTGAACAGAGTCAAGAAATAGGCTCACATATATATGGTCTTTTTTTTTTTTTAGTAGAAGCTCAATATCATTAGATGAAGACAAAATATTTTCAAATTATCCTGTCCCAACAGCTGTATATCCATATGTAAAAGTGGATTTATTTGTTGGTTTTCCATTACGTATTATGCACAGTTTAAGAGAGCTCAAAAGCTAAAACTATAAAGCTTCTATGAGAAACTACAGGAGAATATCTGCAAACCCTTGAGACAAAGAACAACACAGACACAACCCCTGCTATAAACCAACCCCAGTGTTTGATAGTAGTAAAAACACTGCTATATTAGACTTCAAGATGTAAAATATCTGCTTATTAGATAATAAATATTTACTTAATGATTAAAATACACAGAATAAAATTGCCACTATATACATGAACTCATTTTAGCCAAGAAAATGTTAATATTTATATTTTCTTAAATGTAGCTATATATTCTGAAAAATAACCTAATTTCTATTGAATCTTAAGAGGAATATAGTGCACAGTCTCATTGTAAGGATAAAGAGATTTAAACTTAGTAATAGAACACGTTAGACAGGCTTGAAGGGTTTATCACCTGCTATTCATAAGGATGGTTTTTTATTCAACCAGTAGTTATTGAGTAACTATTGTAAAACTTGTTTGTTTGAGTCCTGCCAAGGGATATGTAAATAGTTAACTTTATATAATGTTAACAATGCTGACTGTCGTGCAATTTCCTAGGATTGCCAAACTGTAAAAAAATGGTGGTAATGTTTCATCTTTCTGTTTGATGCAAAATGATTTACTAAAGTTGTGAAGAGTGTTATTAAAATACAAGATAATGCTATTTAAGATT